TGCTGCTTAGGAGGATGAAGATGACAGCAGTTTTGGGCAGCCAGCTCTAGATGACCCTGCTTGAGCAGATAGGGTGGAACAGATGTCCTCCCAAGGTCACTTCCAACCTCAACCATTCTGTGATTCTGTGACCATTTCACCGTATCAGATGGATGGCAGAGAGTGCTGCTGCCAGCATGGGGAATTAATTGAGTTAAGCCAAACTCCTGACTCAAAGCATTCAGTCATGCTCATTCACGAGATGGTCATATTTATATAACTGTGCCTCATAATCATGTCCTCTGTTTCTGTCCCACCCATGTATGTTATGGCCACTTTGAGTGCAAAACTTTATGGAAAGAAATGACTCTTAAATGAGCAAATATAGCATTGAGGTTGGCACTTAGGCTAGAGACTTGAATTGTATTTCTTCTTGTACTTGGACTCTAATTACAGTGTGTACTTAAGCCAGTCTTGTAGCCCCATGGTCCAAAATCCCCCTTGAGAAAAAGAAACGATTCTGGGATTTAAACAATGTAAATAAACATGTTTCAAGGTCTTTCTGCTGAATTGAACTTACCTGAGTGTTGCTTAGGTGAATACTTTTCAGGAGTTCTGTTTTTATGGAATCACTTTGTCCACAGTGAGATTCAAATGAGATATTTCCTTCTCTCTCTGAGTAGAACCACACCTCTTATCCTCAACAAGCTCTTTGACCCAGGAAAGACAATGGCATGCCTCTCTCTTGGGTCTCTGCACCATCTGCTTTTGGTCCTTGTCCATTTGCTTTTTTGCCTTAAAGTCTACAGTTGTAGGTTACACTGGATGTCAGCTTACACTGTGAAAAATGGACTGCATGGGTATTTTAATTCTTGCCATGCAGCCTTACCCTACAAACTTTGTAGAACTTAGACCTTCAGAGGAATAGTGCATACTGGCACCTATTTTTCCCCAAGACATTTTTCTTTTATGTCTAAAAATTGAAAGTACACCAGGTATCCCTGATAATGTTCAAGATTTTGTTCTCTCTGGGATTTTCTCCTCTACAAAAAATGCCCAAAACAAAACGAAAAATCCCACAGAAACCTTCCACAAAAATAAAAAAAAAGAAGACTGCATCTCTTCTGGCTTACTTACTTCTGACCCTTGTCACAACAAACAACACAGATAGGCTGATTTTATGATTATGTGGCCAAATGAGTGACTGCTCTGTTTCTCCAGGGAAATTTAGTTATTAGGAAAATTGAAATATTGTTTCAGACTTATTTGCAATAGATGCAGGGAGCTGGCTCTTGTGTGCCCTTCCAAAATATTTTTGATGCATCTTAAGCAATGGGTTTTTTTTTTGCCACTGACCCAGCAGTCCTGGAGGTCAGTGGGGAATCTCTCTGCTTCCTCTTGAGACTGAGATGCTTTTCTCTGTCCTGTGTGTTGCAGGGAGGTGTGTGGCACAGCCCAGCCTGGAGATCTCCACCTGGAGATTGCAAATTACGTGGAAAACTTCCCTCTCCCTTTGCTCTACATTTCACTCCTGTGGCTTGATGACATCTAGCAGGGCCCTTCCCTCTCTCTGGTATTTATGCCAAGCTTGGCAATACTCAAGTGCCCTTCTCGGGCTGAATTTTTTGCTGCAAAATCTCAGTGATTCTTCCCAGCTTTTAGCAAATCTTTTCCCAGATGCTTAACTTTGCCTTCATTTCTTCACAGAGGAGAAGCTGAGATCGTCTTTCCCACAGCAAGATACTTTGTTTTTCTGGGGTATTCCCTCAAATATCATGTATCAAAAATCTATCCAAGAGTGTCTTCTGCTGTTACCCCTCCTTTTAGTTTGGATCCCTTCTGGTGATGCATGCAAAGCACTGAGAATGTTGTGAAGACCAAGACAATGTTTTCAAAGCCTGGAGACTTGAAAAACCTATTTTGAGCTATAACAGATGCTACTGGACATATGGAACAGCTGAGGGGACTTACACCAGGACTATAAATGTTCTGCAGATCTTTATGTCCCTGACTCAGTGGGTGGGTTTCCTATAGGAACCAAAAGCTGGGGAGAAGTAGATATAATGCAAATCGCTAATGTTCATGACTTTCTTGTGGAAAATTTGCTGCAGAGAATTTGTAATAGCGTATCTTTGGTGGAATAGGTCTCATGGTAGCCAGAAAGGTAGCCTAAACAACAGCCCTGATGAAAGAGGAAGGTCACACTGACCTGTGGCCACCTTTAGACTAGAGTTTTTACAGGTCTATATAAATTTGAGAATCCCAGGCCAGTATGTAAATTCTTTATTGGTTTATTGGTATATTTTACTATCTGAAATACTTTTGTCCTGAAGGAGGTCTGGATTCTGTGCAGTCTGGCCTAGTCAAAAGTAATCCCATAGTCCCCTGTCCTTCACTTGTCTTCTTTGTCATCTGCCTTCCTCTTCCTTCTGTCCTCCTCTCTAGCAGTGAGGTTTCACTATTTAAGGCTTCATTTCCCAGTAAACTGTGTTCCTCTGCAAATTTTTCCAAATTCTAAAGCAGACCTTTTTCTACTAGCACCACTGCCCCAAGCACTGCATGAGCCATAGTAATTGGTGTTGCCTGCAGGGACATTTCATATTCCTCCCATCTCTCCTGGTCCCAGCTTACAGCCAAGTGCTACACAACCATTCTGTCTCCTTCTCCCAGCAGTCTTCAGCAAAGGTGCTGCATGATGCACATTCACACACAGGCTTTGCATGCTGCTTTGAATTCAGGTATGTTGCTCACAGATCTCGTGCAGCACAAGGAGCTGGAGGAAGATTAGCTTGCCTATATGCCATGGGGCCTTTCTCTTCATGCTTCAAAATGCTTGGCTCAGCTGGCAGTCAAGCTGGACTTTATTATTCAACTGTGTCCACCCCCAAGTCCACTGTAGGGAATTTTATTTGCCTGATTCACTGTTGGCTTACTAGCAAAATGTCAGAGCATCACAGGTTCCAGCCACAAGTGGAGACTGGTATTGATGGAACAAAGTATGCCTTGAATATAGACCACCCTGGACTCATAAGCAGCATTGTCATGGGGGAGGTTGGAAAAGAAGGTGTTGAGAACAAGAGATGGACCCTAAAAGGGAGAAAGAGGCTGAGGGGATATGAGAGGAGGAAGAGGAGAGGGTGAACCCTTGATAAAAGGGAAAAAATTAAAGGCAGATTTCTTGCAGGGGGAGATAAGGGGCTATAGGCTGCCACTCAACTGCTGCATTCATATTGGAGAGCCACAGTCCTCACCCCAGTTCCATGCTGGAGCTGCAGCCAGCACAGACAGGATCCTGTAGTTCTCACACACCAGAGTGCAGGGCAGAGGTCTCCAATTTGCTGTGGTTTGACCCAGAGCCAGAATTAGGAGGACAGCAGTCTGACAGCCCAGAGCTGTGTTGCACTGTGACGCTTCAGCCCGAGTCAGTGTTAGTCTGAGCATTTTTGATGCATATTACTGCTCAGTGGAGACTGGTCCCAGGGCTGGGCAGTAATTTCGGCCAGAGCTTGCTCCATATAGGTAGACAAAAATGTTTTTTGATGCTCTGTTAATGGTCATTCTAGTGCTGTTTCAAAATTATTTGAGTTTACAGCCTAGACCAGCTGAATTGTTCTGTACTCAAATTAGCTGAAGGCCAGCAATCTTGAAACCTCTCCCATGTTGCCCTCTCTTCCTCTCCTCCCTTTGGCACTCCTCCACAGAAGGAGCAAAGTGCACATGCCATCTTTGTGAAGGAAATCCTGGGTGATTTGGGGGAAGGGCAATGCTTCCTTCTTCTGTGATAAAAGGGAGTGATTTGCAAGTAAAAGAAGAAGGAAGGACAAGAAGAAAAGGAGCGTAAGAGTGAAACATTATGTTTCCCTTTACCCAGCCCCTTCACTCAATAATGCCCCACCTCCAAAGGCACTAAGATCTAAATGCAAGAAAAAAAGTGTTGTGTGTCTCTGCAATGCTGCTGTTGCCTTGTCAAGGAAGAGCCAGGAAGTTGCTTAGGTGGAGGAAGGTTTTGAGCCACAATGGGGTGAAACACCAATGTTTCCTTTCCATTCTTATTGTGCTCCAGCTGCTGGCAAGCACAGCTGTACTTAGGTGGGAGTGGGAAAAACAGAGCTGTTGGAGAGAGTTTGTTCAGGTTGTGTCCGTGCTAAAGGAGTGTATTTGAACAGAGTCCCCCGGGGCATGAACTGCTGAGCACCAGGCTCGGCCTGGCAGGAGCGAGTGCCAGAGGCAGAGCTAGATTCTATTACACTAGATTGGCACATCAGCCTTGGCGGGTGATACACGCCTGAGGCAGAGGTAAAACTCCACAGAGAGCTGAGTTACAGCCTGAGCTCACTGTTTCCGAGACACAAACAGGGATGGCAGGAGCCCAGGGGAAGGATGCCGGGGGTTTGTGCTGGTAGAGCAGGCCAGAGCGGGAGTTTGCTGGGTCAGCAACTCCTCTGAGTTGGAAAAAAAATTATTCCTGCCCCCTGTCAGCACTTCATGCAGATTCAAAATACATTTCCCAGAACTGTCCCTACATATGTTAGCAAGAAGGCAACTGTTTGCATATTTTGCTGCAAGAAAGTGTGGCAACTGATGTGACACTGAATGGTGAGCCTGGGTGGTGGAAGTCCTGAAGGGAATGCTGTGAAGTACAGCACTGAGGTTATGCTTCCTGTCTCCGAGGAAGCTTGCAGAAAAGAGCCAGGTCTGGAAGCTGGCAGAGTACCAGCTGCAGGGCTGAGGTCATGTGCTGCAGTGCCTTTCATTACTGCCTCCTCATTGCAGGAACAGCGAGCTGGGAAAACTACAGTTCCCATCACCCTTTTGTGCATGAACCTGCGAAACTACAGTTCCCAGAACCTTTTAATGAGCCAGAGAGGACGTCTGTGGAAATAAATGCCGACGATTTTTGCATAACACCCTGTACCTCCGGAGTGCTGACTGGCCCATGGTCTGTGAAAACGGGAACAGGGGAAAAGCCAGGGAGTGTCAGCTCTGCGGAGCTGTCGCTTTGCCCACCCCAATAGCTGCAGTGATATCCTCCAGCGCCGAGCAACCTTCGTCCTCTCAGGACTCCCTTGGTAGTCACAGGGAAGATCCTGGTCCCCGGGAAACACGGCTGCTGCGGAGGGAGAGGCAGATAAACTACAGATCCCGGCATTCTCCGGCAGGCAGCACCTGCGGCAGTCCCTGCACGCCGTGGGGGAGGTGGGGGTGAGGATGAGGATGGAGGGCAGGGAGGAGATGCAGGACGCTGTGGGGCTACGCTGCACCTGGGACATTCCGCCACCCGCTGGCACCCAGGCCAAGTGGGTGAGGCTCAATGTCGGGGGCACCGTCTTCCTCACCACCAGGCAGACCCTGTGTCGGGAGCAGAAATCTTTCCTGTGTCGTTTGTGCCAGGGCGAGGAGCTGCAGTCGGACCGGGTAAGGCAGCTGGGTTGCCTCCCGCACCGTGCCCCACCGAGCCTGGGGAGGGCTGGAGGGATTCAGGGACGGAGCCAGACCCCAGCAGCTGCAGGAGCAACTGAGTGAGAAATGCCTGCTCTTTCTGCCCCCCTCCCGGGAAGGATTTCCCGTTGTCAGATTCCCCCTTGTTGTAGCCTGGCACCTGCCTTCCCGAGCTGGGGAAAAGAGAGGCCATCTCCCCTCTGCTCTTGCTCTCCTTCCTCTTTGTCACCCCACATCCTGGGTCTACTTCCCAGCTGTGTTTGCCTGACTCAGCCTTGTTCCTTTGAGGGGATCTCTGCTCTCTCACACCAGGCCGGGATGCACAGTTGCACAAAGAGACTGAGGCCTATTTTTTGGGCTTTTTCAGCTGGATTGATTTATGCTGAGGTGGGCATGCTGAGCAGACCAATACAGGAGTTGAAGTGTAAGCTGCACTGATTTGGCTAGGGACACTCAGGGACCCATGGTTTCCAAAGAATCTTAGAAACAGTGGACATTTTTGCTTAGGTGTCTATTTTCTTGTATTCTAGGACATTTTACAGTTGATTACAGTTTTCCTTGGGTTTTTCCTCCTTGTGATCTATATCTGTTGCTAGGATGAAACTGGTGCATACCTAATAGATCGGGATCCCACTTACTTTGGACCGATTCTGAATTTCCTCCGTCATGGGAAGCTGGTCCTGGATAAAGATATGGCTGAAGAGGGTGAGTTGTGGAATTCAGAAGGATCCCACTTACCACAGTCAGGAAAAACAGGACTTGTGGTCAACCTTGTCCGTCTCGTTCTCATTGTGGATGTTGATGGGGGAGGATTTCAGAGAGCTGTCCCTGCAAAGCATGATGATGTCTCCTTTACTAAAGGGGTTTGGAGTGCGTGAGGAAGGCATCCTTGCAGGTGTGGCATCACAACTGTCCATCAGAGATGTCACCAAGACAGTAGTAGGCAAGATCTCAGAGCCTCAATAAACCATTTTTTACTGGTTCCTGATCTACTTTTAACCAGGCTTTATGACTGAATTTTCTATTAATGTCTGTTTCTAATTAGGAATGAAAGCCCAGTAGACCAAACAAAACCAAGCTCATCTCTTCTACTGACTGTAATAAAGACCATCATTAATCAGTGATGTGCACTGTATGCTGCTTGTGCTCTCATGGGTTGTGGACTGCAGAAGTTCCAGTGGAGCAAGTCAGACAAACCAGTCCCTCCCCTGAGGTTGACAGTGGGTCCAATAGGATGACTTGGTGACATCACAGTGTTACCAGACAGCAGTCCACAGTGCCTTGTTATTTTTTGGATGCTAGGGTCTAATAAGGAGCCAATTCCAAATACAAATTGTGCTGTCCAGCCCTTACCAAGCACAGTTTCTGCATGGTCATTTGTCTTCTTGCCTTTCTTATACATTTTTACCTAAAGCAAGGAAATTTTCTTCAGAATAGTCTTACCAGTTATAAATCCAAAAATATACCTAACTAATGATACAGGATTGTAGTAAACACAATTCTGAGGTGTTTCCTACTTGACATTTCTTGTAATCCTGAGGTCAGACAGAGTTCATCCACAGGTTTTAATATCAAATCTGAAATGTAAATAGGAGTCCAGTTCATTTGCATTGCCTTTTTTTTTATCCTGCTGCAAACATTCAGACTGGTGTAAAACTAACCCATTAGACAAATTCATTGCTGAATGAGAGACACAGAAGAGGTCTGAGTGTGTCAGGTAGTGAAGGATCAATCTCCCCATATATATTTTCTTTTTACTGCCCGGGGGACATGTGAGCGTTGGCTTCTAGCCACCTTTCCCTCACTGACTTTCTGGGAACCACTTCCCTTTTCCTGAAGGCCTTTTAGCAAACAGGTGAGTCTCAAGAGAGGTGATGGATGCAAACACCACCAAAAAACACCCCCAGAGAAAAAAACAAAACCATTTCTGTTTACCTGCTTTAAGTTGAAGCACAGGGAAGAGAGCCAAAGATCATATAAAGTCATATGGGGCTGCAACTCCAAGTGGCCTAGGAGGCAAGTTAGGCTTTTCTTGGGTCTTTCGGTGACTTGTCAGAACCGCAAGTTTTGGTTTCCTGCCTTAATAAGAGAGTCTGAGCAAGTTCAGAAAAATGGTCATTGAGAGAGACTGGAGCATGCAGTTGTTCTCCTTGGCCAGGTGTCTGGGAAAGGTATTAGCAGTCCTCAGCACAAGCCTTCACTGGCAGTGCCTATTTGTGAAGTAGCAGGCAGCATAAGGAAGTTGGGGTGAGCATTAGAAACAAGATGCAGAGGGCCGAGTTTCAATTCTCTGCAGTAAAGGTTTCACGCCTGTTAAAAAGTAAGGCAGTAATATAATTTCTCCCTACGGACCTTGTGAAGCTCAGAATTGATCTTTTGCAAGTCAAAAATAAAGATGGACTGCTAACTTTCTGTCTTTGTGGTCCTTCTGTCTGTCTTTCTCAGGGATCCTTGAAGAGGCCGAGTTCTATAACATTGGTCCTTTGATCCGAATAATCAAGGATCGAATGGAGGAGAAGGACTACACAGTGACACAGGTATGGCAAGATAGAGGGGGGTGGGGAAAGCAGGGTTGTAAAAGGGGGGAGAGGTGAGTCTAGAGGGAGAGAAGACTTGAGAGAAGCAGCAAGGAATGGAAGGAAGTAACTAAAGATTATGTGCTAATCTCTATGCAGCAAAATCTTGAAGGGGACAAGCTACCACCCATGAATGTAGTTACAATAAGCAAGTTGCAGTCTTGCTTTACATCCCAGAATTAATGCTGGATGTAGCCCCTGAAACTAAGGAAGCTCCTCTTGCTTTTGGAAGAAGGTAGCTGGTTGCTGTGTGATATAGAGGAATGCTTGTGAGGAGAGCAAACCTGTCATGTAGAGGAGGACTGGTGTGGGTAGTCCTGGGATTGTAATAACAATGAAGAGCATGGAAATACCTGTAGAGAAACCTGGGGGAAATAGGTGAAGAGATGGCTGTGAAAGAGTTAAATGCAGACAAGGAGTCAATCCTGTGGCACAATCACAACCTGTCTTGGCCAGGAATCTTTGAAAATCTTTCTTACAGGGAGGATTGTCTACTATCTCACTTTTCATCTTGTCTGCCTCAGGTTTTAAGCCTCCAGCAGCACAGTCACTTTGTGCTGCAAAGCCCCATCAGCATTTGTTGCATTTGCAAAAATGATTTTATACTTACAAGTGCATACTCCCCATCAAAAGAGGGCGGTATCTTCTGGGGATAATGCAAGGAGCACTCAGCTCAGTCCCTGCTTTTCAGAAGAGATACTGCTCTTACCTCCAATGACAGCACAGGAGAAAGCTGGATTGTGGTTTCCACTCCCCTTTCACCTGGGGCATGGGGGAGAGGACAGATCTGTCAAGGAAGGGTGTATTACTCCTTCATTCTGCAGGAGGGGAACAGCTTTTAGCATGTGACTGTAGTCAGTGTGCTCTGCAATTTTGCTCTCAGGTGCCTCCTAAGCATGTCTACCGTGTGCTGCAGTGCCAGGAAGAGGAGCTCACTCAGATGGTTTCCACTATGTCAGATGGATGGCGCTTTGAGCAGGTATGGATAAGGCAGAGCAGGGTGGGAGGGAGTTGCCTTCTGGGGAAAAGATCATGGATACCATACAGTTGCCAAGCAAGGCTCCTTCCCTCTCTGAGAATACTGGGAAGTCATTGACTGAGCCATCATGCTCAATCAATGACTCTTTCTTGCCCTTTCTAGAGGTTTAGAGGATACTGTGTGAGACTAGACTACTTTGCATCCTGTCTGACTTCTCTCCTGGTTCTCTGTGTTGTCTCCTCAGCTTAGTTATGAGGCTTTCCAACAGGATTATGGATTGGACTCAGTGCTGCATGGTGGGCTTTCTGCCTTGTTCCCCAGGTGGAATGAGTGTTTCCAGGAATACAGGTTTGTGATTCTTGCTCTCATCTTTTCTAGCTTGTGAACATTGGCTCATCCTATAATTATGGGAATGAGGATCAGACAGAATTCCTGTGTGTGGTCTCCAAGGAATTGTACAACTCCCCCAATGGCCTGAGCTCTGAGGCCAGCCACAAAGCCAAGGTGAGATAAACTTTGCTATGGCCTGCTCCCATTGCCTATGAGATCCTTTGCTCTTTGCTCCTTCTCTCTTTTCACTCACCCTTGAGACAGTGGGGCACCTCAGTGGTGAAATACAGGGGCCTGTCCTGGTGTTCAGCACCGTGGCATTACACTGGTTGCCCAAAAGGAGGAGAGTGTGTGTTGGAGGGGTGGTGTGTGGCTGTGTGTGGCAAATGGCTTTAGCAAGTCACCTTGGCACCTCTCATGCTACTCTAACCTTGGCATCCCTCATGCCTCCTCATGCCCATTCTGTCTGTGTCACTGCCTATAGGGTATTACTTCCCTGAAGGTTTTGCAGCATTCTCTTTCCTTTTTGAGTCTCAGCCTGAGGGGCAGATATCTCCTGCTCCCCTTTTGAGGGAAAGACAGAAACATGTGGCAGTGCATGACATTCTGTAGACACCCAGGATGCAGGAAGGAGCACTAGCAACTGATGGCAGTTGTTGGATGGTGGGGTCACAGCACTTGTAAGTGGGTTAGATACCTGATGTGATACTCCAGAGGAAAACAAGTCTCACTGTTCCCTGACCTAGAATTATCTTGGCCATGGGGAAAGGTCCCTTTTTATTTCAGTGTTATGAAAATTACTTTGTTCCGTTGTGTGTGAGAAAGAACTGCCATGGCTCATCTTGCAAGTATTTCCACTCTTTCTTCCTTTTGTCCCACATGCTGGGCTACAGAACACAGAGGAGGACCTGGAGGAGGAAGAGCAGGAGGTGGAGGAGGAGGCAGAGGCAGAAGCAGAAGCAGAGGAGAAAGGTGCAGCAAATCCCTGAGGAAAATGATAAAAATAACCCCCCAGGCATAGACTCGTCCACCTTTCTGGTGAGAGCTCACAGCTAGCAGCAGGGAAGGATTAGAACAGGTGTGGGGTGTGGGGGCTGTCCTCTCCAGGAGTTAGAGTCTCTCTGGAGATAAAGCTGATAGGGGAGAGCTGTTACCATGGCTGCTGCTTTGTATTTTTAACTGTTTGGTTTATCTACGGTTTTATTTTTATTTGCAGACTGTCCATCTATTCGGGATTGTGCTAAACTCTCTTCCTGTGGACCCTCCCTCCTGCTCCCTTCCGTGTCCATCCCAGCACTGTCATCTACCTCCCACATTGCCCCACTTGCCAGCCTCCAGCATCCTTCCCTCTGCTCTCTTTGTCCCTCAGGGCTCAGAGTGGTCTCTGCCCAGGGCCCTGTTTCTCTCTGCTCCTCACTTTTCCTCCTCTGCAGGTATGTTACCTGTCTGCACTCCCAGCTCCTGCCAGCCTGAGCTCTGCATGAGTGACTCACTTCCCTCTTGTGGGTATGGCCCTGGTTTGTAGAGCTTGGGGAGGGGAAGGAGGGAGGTGTGAGGTTGACTCATCCCTAAGGTGGCTTTCCATATTCTGATCCTATACGTGCCTTTACCTGCCAAGCAGATCCTATGGCTGTGGACCAGAGGCTCTGGCAGCAGAAAGGAAAGTGCAGCTGGGAGAGGGGTGGAAATGAATGCAAAGCAGGCAGGGGTGGTTCAGGGAAGGGGTGGAATTTTGCCACGTGTCTGCGTGACATGCATGCCAGATCGCTTCTCCAGACTGCCGTCCGCAGCTCCTTTGCCTGCCAGCCCGGGCAGCTTGCAGAAGGCAGTTTGTTATTTTCCCTTCCCTGGGCTTTTCACCCACTGGCTCTACCAGGATGAGAGTGCAGTGGGGAAGGTGGTAAAGGCAGAGGAGGACCAGCTGGTCCCCACTGCAGATGTTCTCACAGCTGTGTGCAAAATGAGCCTCTCTGCTCTGCCTCCTGTTTAGGAAGGCTGGCTGGTGACATGCATGGGGCTGGGTATGGAAAGTGTTAGAAGGAGGATTCCTCTTCATACTGCAAAACTGTGATGCTCATGTTAGATGGGAGATGTTCAGTGTCAATCTCCACTGGTCCTGATGGAGAGCACTTGTTAGCTGGCTGACAGTTCTCTCTCCCTCTATTTGAAAGCCTTCTTGTCTGTGGCTGTGGGACCCGAGTGTTATCTTAAGACTCAGTGTATGTTAATCACATGGACTTTTTCTTTCTTCTGTTCTGTTTTCCCACCCTCATTTCTTTTCTTTTTCTTCTGTTTGTGTTTCCTCTGTCATTTCCCCTTTTCCATTTCTTACTCTCCCCTCCATGCTCAGTTGCTTTTTATTTCCTACCATTGATTGTGTTTCTCTTTCTCTCTCCTTCTCTAGCTGTTACAAGCCAGAGATCTGAGGATGTGATCTGAACACTCTGCTCCAGCCTTTTCATTTTTTGTTTATATCTTTATTTTTGTACTGCAGTCTATGGCAGTCCCTTGTCCCACAGTGATGCCCCTGGCCCCTTTCACTCTTCACATGCAGCCATTTTTTTTTACCAATTCAACTCGGAGGCCTGAGCTTCCAGCCCTGGAGGAGGGCAGATGCTCCATAGAGCTCCCGAGCTGCTGTAGGAGTGGGAGCCCACAGCCCCTTCCTATGCCTGGCAGTTTGGCTTTCCTTAATGTCACAGTGGCCCCTGGTGGGGACATCAGCGATCAGCCACTGCAGCCTACGGTCCCTTCCTGAGCACCCTGGATGCAATTGAGGACCGAGGTGGTGGCAGCTGTGGAAGAACCAGCCCTTGCCCTTTCACTGTTGCAGGCAACTGGTGTGGGCTTGTGGCCTGGGGACAAATGCAGAGCCATCGTCCTTTCCTGGGTCACCTGTATTGCTCGGAGGTGTCCCTGTGCTGGGTATCACGTTCCTTGGTGCCTCCCTCCCTGTCCCCCAAAGCAGCTCTGTGCCAGCAGTGTGAGGAGGAGAATGATGTGCTGCCTGGGTACCAGGAACATGCTGGTACCTGATGTTGTCAGCCAGCACCAAGCAGATCCCAGTTTTGGGGAGCGGGGTGTTTGCTTCACTGCTGTGTCTGAAGACTCCTGAATAAAATTCACAGTCTGTTCCTCCTTGCTGCCTCTCATTTTAAGTGGCAAGAATTCATTCCTTCTGTAAGGGGGTGGGAGTTGGAGAAAAGGATTTTGGATTCATCACCTGGAGCCACCAGAAGCTGCTTGTGCTCTGCCTGTCTTCTGGGGGCTGGAGGTGCTTCCCACTGTGTCTGTGCTGCTGCATCCTAAGTGCAGGCAGCTGGGCTCCAGAGCAGGTTTGCTTATTGGTATCTGCAGCCCTAAATCATAACAGTAAGTGAGGACCACCTGTCTAGTGAACTTATTGGTCCCAGGGACATCTGATGTGGGGGGGTGGGAAGGAGTGTGGAAACTTTTGCCAGTTGCCAGTGCCAGGACTGGACTTTGATCAAAAACATATAAACCTCAAGATAATTTTTAGCAGAGTGAGGCAAACTGGAGCCAAAAAAATTCTCAAATTAATTTTATTTATAATTCCAGAGAGTGGCTAATTATGTACACACAAACACATACACGCACATATATATCTTTAGTTAAAAAAACCAAACCTGCAGCAGTTGCAGTTTAAGCCCTGAGCCCTGAGGCCTTCTCCTTCATCTCCTGCAATACCTGAGATAGGAGATGGAAAAGGTTGAGATGCCCTGATGTTAAAGGTATTTAGAAGGGCTGAGGGAAGGGGATGGGAGCCTGCTCCAGCATTTTTACTGGGGGAAGTGCAGCAGTGGAGGCAGGGTGCTGCTCCAGCAGGGAGGCAGGACACGTGCTTGGGGGTGCGATGCTGGGCTCATGCCTGGGAGTCAGTGAGACGTGAAGAGTTGGCTGGCTGAACTGAACAGCACACTGAACAGCACACGCCAGCTAAGAAAAGAAGCAATTAGGGAGATGGAAGAGGAGGAGTGATGGGAGGGGAAGGGGGATGAAGGATAAGCAGCAGGAAGGAAGAGGGAGGCAGATTGATTTCACAGTTACTGGAATCTCTAACTACATCAGTCACATTTTCTTCCAGCAAATGTTCCAGCATAAGACTGTGGCTGAATCACATGGTTCATGGAAAGTTCAACTCCCCTTATTCCTCTTCTCATACACCATCAGCTTGGGTCTATTGCTGTGTGTCATGTCATTGCTCCCCCAGCTCCCCCACCTGCCTCTGTTCTCTCCGCTTTTGTATGGATGGCTTAAAAACCCTTTGGGGTGCTCCCTGGGAAGCACTAATGGGGAAGTGCTGCTTTTCTCTGCAATCCCTGCAGCAGCCTTTTTTTGCCCAGTTCAGAAGAGCATCCTGGGTCTGACAACACCCCACACTCTTTGGGAGTCAAGTGAGCAAGATCAGGAATGAGTGCCATGTGAGTGTGTAGGTGTGATCGGGAGAAGACAGAGATGCACTTTTCTCAGCTCATGGTTTGGTTCATCCAGCCCAGCACTTGTGTGATCCTGGTGTATACTCCATAGTGATTTGCACGTGCACATCCCATTCCCCAGCTGACCAAACCAGCCAGAAACCATCTGCCACTGGGTTCTTTGCAGGCCAGTGGACCTCCAGAATCACCCTAGAAAAAAGAAAAGTAATATGAAGTGGTGGTGATCCACTAGCTTCTGCTGCTGTCTGATTACACTGTCTTTGAGCCCCTCTGTATACAGATCCCTGTATCCCCTCAGCTCATGCCTGGGACATTTGCAACATTCCTTGTACCTTAGGCAGATGTCAAAAACAGTCTCCAGTGCAAACATCTGACTCAGTTATACCTTCATCGGGCAAGTTCCTCCCCCTCAGCCAGGTCCCAAAAAGCTGATTGTGCTACTGATTCCTCCTGACCCATATGGCATTTCCAAATATGTGGCAGGCAAGGATGATTGTTGGAATTTAATTGTCTTCCATGAGGGATGTCAGAGAGGAATTCCTTGAGATTAATAGTAATGAAGGAATACACAGGTTACTGTGTATGACAGGTGCTAAAGAGGCTGAGGGTGTAAGAGACTGATGTAATCACCTGACTTGAAAGTGGGAGGTAGAGTGGAGAATAGTCTGAAATGAGAAAAGGGTAATTTGACTGTATTTGGATCCTGTCTAAGGCAAGGAAGAAGTGGTCATGAGAGCTGTTGTTGGCTGCTTAGATCAGAGGAAGTGTTGGGAAAGTGACCTTATATGGTCTTTTCTCCCTCAATTCAGGCTGTGGATTGCATTTGATGTGGAACATATCCCACCTCTGGTAGTCAACCCTGATCCCACAACTCCTCTGTCACCTGGCAGGCATCCTTCTTGCCCTGGTAGTACCCAGCACACAGCATCCTGGGAGTAATCATGTAGTGATAAGCCTCGCTGCAGATGTTCTGCTGGATGAGCTGCACGTCCACCTTCTGCAGAACATTGCTGATATGCCCTGAAAAGTAGAGCACCTAAATTAGCACAGGTGAGCTATGGTGGAACTTCCCCTAGCCCATGCCTACCTCACTGCATGCCAAAACCTGCCACTGGAATTTCTGTTCTGCTCTCCACTGCCATCACAGTCTCTGACTTTCAGCAGAGCACTTTTTCTGCATGGAAGGCATGACATTCCCCTTCATTCCTTTCCCTACAGGGATATGTTGGGAGCACTTCAGTTTTTGGGATAAGGAGTATTCTGCTTTGGGGAAACATCTGGGTTGTCAGAATCTTGGGTTTGTTGCTCACTGAAATGGATGTTAAGCTCTTCTGTCTAAGAGTACAAACCAGGAGTGTCCAGTTCTGTATAGTCTCCTGAGTGTTTCCAGTCAGGAAGCAGCTGGAGCAAGTCTGTAAGAGGGTGAAGGCACTAAGCTGACCTGAAGGGCTGTTCTAGTCTTTGGATGAAGAAACACATGCTGTCCCCATACAGATTACCAGACTGCCATGCCTGCCTCTCCACATGAGGTTTCAGGGCACTCAACAGATAACTTTGGCCAACCTATTACCAAAATCAGAAGGAGTGAAGGAGGCACAATGTTTTGGGATGAGCAGAAGCCTGTTCTACCTATGACACATCTGAACCTATGTTTCTGCCTCAGCCCTGCTGCAGTAGGCCACCAACAGACCTTGAACCTACCACCTTCCTTGAGGGCTCCCCAGCCAGTGATCCAGCAAAGAAGGCCAGGCTCAAAGATGTGAGAAGGAGGAGGCAAGCAGATGGGCTGGATTAAGGGTGAGATGATCACAGGATGATCCAGCTGGAGCAGGGCCACATCATAATCGTGGCTGTCCTCCTCGTAATAAGGGTGGAGAAAGAGATGGATAACCTTGAAGGACACCTCTGTATGGCCAGTGGCATTTTGCAAGTATTTACCCAAGTAAACGGTCCAGATGGAGGGGGAGGCCAGCCTGTAGAATGCAGCAGAGGAGCTTGGGACACAAAGGGCACACTTTGCAGGTAATGCTGTCCCCATCCTAGCACATGCTGACATCTCCACAGCTGTGACAGTGTGGGGACAACACAGAGCCAAAACAAAGGTAGAGGTGTGCAGCATCTTCCACTATCATTGTCCCCTCAAAGCTGCTCTGCAAATTCCAGCATTGCCCCTTTTCCCCTGCACACACCACCAGATAATACTGCATATATCCATACCCCTTTCTTCAGTTCCAAGCCATGGAGAAGCATGGCTGAAGTGCCAGAGGAGGGGTGCAGCTGCCCCGTGACAGTTTCATCAGTCAGAAGAGCTTCCCATCATGCATGACATGGAAAGCAATGCAAATCTTTCCATCCAGCACCTCCCCTCTCCATTTACCTCTCATCCTGGAAGCAGTGTGCAGCTGAAACCACCCAGCGGTCAGCAATGAGTGTTCCCCCACAAATGTGGCGGCCCCGAACTTGCAGGCTGGCCTGCCATGGCCATTCCCCTTCCACAGAATTCATACCACCCACAATCCTGCTGAGAGGGGCTTGCATCCCACAGTCTGAGGAGGACACACAACAGGTACTTCAGGGAAGGAAGGGAACATGATATACTATGCCCGCCCTTCCTTTCCTACTTATGTGACTAAAGAGTTTGACCTCTAATTGCTTGTTTTACACAGCCAGCACATACTTTATGTACTGCCCAGGACAGGTCTAGTGAGCACTCCCTTCCAGCATTCCCCAAATCCAGCTGCAACCTGGGGATGCCTTTGGGGCAGCATGCTGGCTGTGCTGTCAGATGACTCTCCTGGTCATTCCCCTTCACTGCCTACTGAGGCTCCAGAAAAAAAAACAAGTAGGGAAATCAAAACATTAACTCTCTCACTACCAGTGGCCATGCAGACATGAGTGATTTTCCTGGTTGGAGCCTCGTACAATGGCATATAAGTCAACACAGTGGTCAAACAGGCAGCCTGTGGTTTTAACCTGGCCTGTGAGACATGTCTGTCTGATCTGATGCCTCTGCCTGAAGGAGGCAGGGAGCAGCTGTCCGAAGAGCAAGAGCTTGCTCATAATCAGCACAGAGTTGGCTCGTTGCTGCTGTCCCTGCCACTGCAGGGTGGAGCAGGGGCACTGGTACTGTGGGACTGAGGTGGGGAGAAGGTGGTGGAACAAGGGGGTGTGGGTGCTTCATCTGGGTGGTGGGAGAAAATGGGGCAACTTGCAGCTACATGTCATCCTGAACCTGCCTGGCTGACATGTGGCTGATCATTTCCTCACCACAGTGATTCTCATCAGACAGGTCCTTGCAGTCTGCAGTGGTGTCACACAGGGGGTTGGGTTTCTTCACACAGGTCCCGTCTTCACAGCGGTAGGTGAAAGGACCACAGGGAACCCCTGAAAAAAGGAAGGGAAGCCAAGACTGAGAGAGGGAAGCTGGTTGTAGATGCAGCCTTAAGTCCTTTAAATGAGGAGAAAGGGCAGCAGAGAGCTTGGGGGAACTCCTTAAATGATGACAGGGAATTTCCTGAACAAACAGCTCACAAACATTGTGAGGAGGCTGGGCGAGCTAACTCCCAGATGGTGCCCTTATGTCACATGTGGGAAGTACTCTACAGACAGCCTTGGTTCGAACACAGGTTTGGGCATTTGTCATCCCAGCACTGTCCCCTCCCTACCTCCACTGCAGTGCTC